TATTGTACAACTACACTGAAAAAAATGTCTGGTTATAGCTATCAAATGTTGAATGAAATAACTTCAAATAAATGTTCAAGTAATATAATTAAATATAATTTTACTTTTATAAATATATAGTAAGTATTGTAATCGTTGGTAATACCGTTTGATAATATTTACTAAATATTTATAAAAGTAAAATTATATGTTATGTTATTTGATTATGTTATATGGTTATGTTATTTGAATATTTGGTTGAAATTATTTTATTCAATATTTGGCTATAACCAGACTTTTTTTCAGTTTATCTGTACTGGTGAACTATTGTCCTTTATTTGCGTTTTTTGTTTTGAAAAAATAATAACCATACAGGACGTAGGTACAAAAGGGCTGATATTTTACATGTAAATCAATCTAGGTACAAAAGAGCTTTGCAAAATCCAATCCGTAAAATTCTAAGCGAGGGTTCATCGCTCCACTTAGTCGCACTTGTGCAAATAGCGCTAAAAGCATCCAGACTCATAAATTATTCGCATAAGAATGTCGAGCCGAAGTCGCTACCTGTTGAAGCTCTGCACCAATATCTAGGTTCCTTCGAAAGCCTTTTTAAGTCGTAACGAAGTCGGACAATGCATATTCATTTCAAGATCGCTCCGTTTCTTTATCGATCCGATGATTTTATCTTTGCTAGGATTACGTGCTCAACTCAAAGATTAAATAGAACGCATAAATTACGTAGCGTTGAAAATGTATAAGAAAGATATTGCTTTACTTTTAGAATCCTTTCAATATGAAAATATATGATAAACATAGATCGTTAAATCATGTTATCAAATAAATTACGATATAAATAAATTAATTATATAATGAAAATAGTAATTTCGTATCTATAATGCACGAAAAAAAAAACGATTTTGTTGAAATATCTAAAAATTTAGAGACAGACACAGATTTGAAAATCATTTTATTGAACTATCAGAATACTTATTTAGGAAAGTCAAACATGATGAGAGCAAAACTGCAAAAAATGTTGACAGTCTAGCAATCAATTTGAGCATCCTATATAATTATTTTGATAATCTAACAAAATTACTTATATGTGTATCTAGTTAAATTTTTAGATACCTGAGGAAAATCTTTTCTTTTATAATTTGTTTATTTTTAAAAGAAAAATGGAGCAAATTTTTTTATTGTGACACCTTGTATGCATATATGTACATATCTTGTTCTTCTTTGCATCGTTACAATTGACGCGTGGCATGTGAAGGCTTGATATTCTTAAATTTATATGTACACGCAATTTGTGAATTCAAAATGTGCGAAATGTCAAGTCACGGAGCGTAACATTGCGTGTTTACGTTATTATCATTATATTACGTAATTATATACGCAAGCGTTTCACGTGTGAGTGGTAATTTTCCTGATACAACTTTTTTTTCGAAATAACGACGAGATGTGTGTTCTCGTTTCGAATATAATATCATGCCTTGAGTGTTATATTCTTAAAGACATCGTTTTCTCAGATCTTTCCTGTATTCGACGAAAATACATTTACGCCTTTTTAGTAAAGTTTATTCATAATTTGAATGATAAAGCTCTATTCATAATTTGCAACTGTAAAAATCCTACGTTTTTAAAGTCGACTAATATTCGAATGTTTATATATGAATAATAAAAATATTCAGATTGATTATCTACAAAAAACGGAAATTTAATTTAAACTTGATTAGATAAAAACATCAGAAATCAACAAAGTTTGATAGCAAAAGGTGATCCTGGCAGGATCTCGTTTTTCAATTAATTACATGAAGTTTTTTTCTCACTAACAGTTCTGATTTAAAGTTTAATTAATTACTTTTAATTAGTCATATTGTTTTTTGAACAGCCAAATGAAATTTGTAAACAATAAAAATTTCCATTTATTTTTTAATCACTGTGATTTAATCGCTGTGAATATTTTTACCTCAAAAATATAATATTATTAAGTGCTGCTTAAATTTCTGTTGAGTTGTTTTTTAAAAAGTTATGTTTTTTGTAGTACTGGTACTCTCTCTAGCTGTTTCGACATACATTTAGAAAGAGTCCGTTTAATACAGTGGTCTTTTAATATAAAAATTTCCATTTATTCTTACGCTTGATTACTTTTTCTTATTTTTTTTTTCTGAAACTTTGCTGGAATTGTTCACGTCTCTGTCTCCAAACATTTACCGAATACTCGAAGTTTTAGATCGGTTGGCAAATGGACAACTAGACAGGCACATATAGATAAATCGACAGAATTGAGCGAACCGATAAAGCGATAGCAGCTTAACTTCCGCATTATATAAATGCGTTTCAGTTGGATTATTCATATCTACCGAGTTTGAGATCGAGATATGATTACGAGACATTTACGAGTTATACCGGACTGGCGTCGCGAGAAGTTGGCACGGTGTATTTGTAAAAAGAAAGAGGTGTTCCCTTCGCGCCATTTCGCCATGTAAAAGGGTAAAAAAACGATGCTTTTACGAGATTACAGGAGATTACGTCGATACGATTGACGTAGCCCCGTCCAATTTTAGCATTACAGAGAGGTTGCCTCACAGCTACAGCATGCCTTGACGCGATGCCGCATCAAATCGGGCGACGGTTTTCGTATATTCTGCGACACCATAGCGTTTTGTAGCGCGCAATGCATATCTCGCGCTGTCTTCAGACATCAGAATTTTTATCCGCGCATCCGCGACAGGGCGTGAAGTTTTGTATAAATCTTATCGCGCGCCCGCACGGATTACGATTGGAGAAGCGACGAATTGCCTTCTCTACTCCACGTCTTGTCATTTCTTTCTGCTGCAAGTACGTTACTACGTACGATTGATCTTTCTTAGAAATCTCTTCAATGGAAGATCCATTTGTCACTTGTTGAAACATTTGATGAAAGCACAGTGTTATCGCATCATACCGTAAATAGTAATTAACGATTTAAATCGTCGCAGAAAACTGGCGTAATTTACGTTACGAAGATTTTATCAGTAATTGCGAAATCCGATATCAATTGGAGTAATTACGAAGAGTCGTGCGATAAATCCAATGACTTTGTCGAAAACACGAAATCCTAGAAAGAGAAGAGAAGAGAATATTTTTCTTGCTGTGTGTGTGTGTGTGTGTGTGTGTGTGTGTGTGTGTGTTTGCACTGCTGCGCAAAAATGAGATAATGGGTTAAATTGAAACAAATGTTTATTATAAACCTTATAACATCAAAAGAAAAAGTAGGTAAAACTGTAAATAAGAAATTAAAATCTTATTCTGTACTTTGAGCAACTTAGGTTTACTAATATTTTAATTTTTATTCATTATTTTTTATAAAACTTTTTTGTCCATGTTTTTTTCTTTGCATTTAGTTATTTTGTTTTTAATTCAATTTAACATATAAAAATAAATGAGACAGACATTTTTTTGATATGACATATTTTTCTGATAAGTAATTAAATTTGGCGTTTTGTGATATAGTATGTAAATTTCTTTTTATATTAATATGATAATATAAATGCTTTAAAATCATAAAAATTTTGTTCAATTCAATTTATTATATTAACGTTTTATGTGCAGAAAATAAAAATGACTAACATTTTTTCGTTTCAAAATTTACTAAATCCTTTTTTCAGTATATTTTATTTTAATAAATAAAAATTATATTTCTGATGTTATATACGTTTTGTTAACTAAAACAATGAATGTTTTTTTAATTTTTCGAAAAAAGCTTTATTAATAGCCTGAATGACAAAAATTTTATAAGTTTTTTTGTTCTCACCAAAAATTGTTTCAAATTGAGATAATGGCTTTTACTATTGGATAAATTATATTTATGTAATATTATTATACTTAAATAATAATATTATAATATTTATTAATATTATAATATTATTATATTTTTTTTTATAATAATATTAAATTTACTTATATTATATAATTACTTAATTTACTTATATAATATAATTATTAACGAGAAATAATAACCATAATCTAATGTCTGAAAGAATGTAGTGATATGATTATTAAGAGATATCTTTATCTTGGAATAATTTTTTCTAAGAAACCTTATCTAAAAATTATCTGATATTCGCATGAAAAATTCGTGGCCAAAATTTGAGTCGTTGCAAAAAAAATATAGGAGACGAACGAATTTTTCTAAAAGACCTTCGTGGCCTCGGACGTGCGGTAAAAAAATGTCGAAACAGCATTCGTGTCTTCGGCAATTTTTCTGCATCGAACCCGGATCCGATCAGTGTTCGCGAAGCGCAGTTCCCGCAAATTGCGAATGCGAGGATGTATTGATAGAGGATGAAAAACACGTGAAAAATTATTTTCGCCCATCCGTGCGAATCTCGTTCATGGGCATGCAAGAAGAGGCAACATTTCGGTTTGCCAGCGTTTCCTCGTTAGCGCACACAAACGCGAAATCAATCAGCAAACGAACTCCATCCGTTGTTAGAGCGAGAAATCAGCCCAAATAAAACCTCGTCACGCTCCTTCAGACCTGCCAAGAGGCTGCGATATAATTGGATTCGCATTTAGAACCCTTCTGATTCTGCAATCGCCCTCTAAGGATGAGAGCACAGTCTTCCATAACGCATAACGCATAATGCATAAGAAACCTGAACCAGAGTCCTTCATTTCCTTCCTTTCCATGAAATAAAAGACTTGGATTGGTTCACAGAAGAAAAAAAAAAGAAAAAAAATTAATTGGATGGTACAGCAAACCTATAACTTACCTCGCGAATTCAACATTTATAACTAAGAAGATTTGATGATATAACAAATCGCTAATGTTATTCAGCTGTTAACTTTGCTACTTTAATACATAGAAAATTGACTGTCCATGTATTACGGCTGTAGATTTGCTGAATCAAGCTGAAGTTTTCAGCTGTTTTTTTTTTCCGTGTCAACTTTTTTATACTTTAATTCCATTATGCGTTACGCAACGGTCTGTGCTCCGGCTTTATTAATCCACCAAAGTGACTGTTAGGTAAATGTTTCAGTGTGGGCGGGGGCGTTGAGTGCCGCGATCTCCCGTGGTTCAGCACCGCTGGTTGTCGGTGCGTGTCGTCGTGGCAATACGAGGCTTACGGCGGTGATCGGTGGCCTTGTGCTGGCTCTGGCGTCGCTCTTCACCTCGTTTGCCGTCCAGATGCATCAAGTGCTCCTTAGGTGCGTTTCCTTAACGACGCAAACGCTACAGCTAAGGGGATTCTTCCCCATCTGGGAGGAATCGCGCCGTGGACGCTGCGTTAAAAATAATTGATGGACAGAGAGCCAATTTTTTTTCATCTTTTAAAAGACGAATGACGTTTAACCGCGAAAAAATTATCGCGACGGATGTTGCAGTAAAAATAATCGAAGGGTAGATGAGAGGATTTTTTTTTTTTTGTTAAAAAAACTTTTATGCGAGGGACGAAATATTAATAGCATGTTGAGTGAATTATTAAAGTTATTTTTACGTGTAAAGTAAGTAATTATTTATACAAGCGTTTATTGTGCTTTACATTTTTTTATTTAGTCGCGAATTTTATGTAGTCAAATCGAAGGAGAATTAAAAAGAATATTGTATTTTACGAAAAAAAAAAAAGACACCTGCGTTGCTACGTGCAATTTTAGTTGATATTAATATGAATGTTGAAATGCATTCTGTGTGCGGATTATACGTACAGCAATACGCAGAGCTGCATATTTCTATGATAATAGTCACTCGTTTAATTCTGCTTTTAAATAGCTTTTAAAGCTGAAAAATCGCGTAATAGCGTCTCCCATACTCAGAAAAGTCATGAAAAAATGATGAGAAGTCAATATTCGCGACTGTACATATCCTAGCTGTTTCGTTTTCTTGAAAATATCAACGACTCGTTTTCCGTTAAAATATCGCCGGCTTGACTTTCGCGCGGCATTCTGGCGCAAAAGTCATACGCTTTACCTTTACAAAATGCAACAGCTACGGCCTGGTGCTGGGCACGGGGGCTGGCCTTGTGAGGGAAACCGCCAGTCTGGTATTGGGCAATTACTTCAGAAAACGGCGAGAGTTCGTCGAGATGGTGGTGCAGGCTGGCACCGGCGTGGGAATAGTGCTCTTCAGCGTCGTCTACAAAGAAGCAGTCGGGTGAGTTATCGCACATATTACTTGGAAAACGCGCGGAAATGTATGCATTAGCCAATACCACCCTTAGGAATGTCCTCCGCGCCCGTCCGACATTTCGCTCAAGTCCGGCAAAAAAGATCCAATTAACCTTCGGTCGCGCCATTTTGTCGCATGTGTGGGTGCACAATGCAAATTTTAATATCACTCTCTGTTCTTTTTCATTGCGCGGGCAACGGAAACTAATAGGTGCAGACAAAAAAAAATTGCGAAGGCATTATCTTTGAAATATCTGCTGCTAGAGATACTCGGGTATATAAGAGATTAGACACTGTTTAGACAGACATTTTTTATTTGTCCGCTATCTTCAAGATGATACTTAAGATGAAAGAAATAAATGCATAAAATATATAAATACTCATTTATTTATGATCGTCTTAAGTGCAGTTTTAAGATATCATAGACAAATCACAAAATTGTATTAGCATCTTAAGAGATTACTTTAGACGGTCTTGAAGTAAGAACTTACTATGAATACTTACTGTCATCTATCTTATTTCGTCTTGCAGATCCTGAAAAATATGGCGGATTAAATATATAATGTCCAATCTCTTACTTAAACATTTCTATTCGCCACTGTGATTACTACAAACAAGCTTGTCGCATGATCGATTATCTGAATTAATTTGCATTCGTGAAAAATGCCTGCAATTTATAGAAGAATAGATGACTAAGTATATATAGATAAGATTGTTTATTTTATAAAAAGTAAATTGAAATTACACGAAATGATTAATAATTAATACAGTTTTTACATAAGATTAGGAAACAGTTTTTGAATGAGTTGCTGAAAATCAAAATTTTAAAAATTATATTACAAACATTATATTATTTATTTCAGTCGGAAATTGAATCACTGAAAAATACATGGGAAAAATGATTTTGCTGAAATATCGAAAAATTTAACTAGATACAAATCCCAAAATAACTTTGTTGGATTATTAAAATAATTATGTAGGAAACTCAAGCACGATGGACAACATTGGAAAAAATTTTTATATTTCAACGTCCTACATAATTATTTTGATAGTTCAACATAATTATTTTCTGATTTGTGTCTAGCTTAATTTTTAAATATTTCAACAAAATTGTCCTTTTTTGTGTAGATGTATAAAAGAATAACAGGATGCTACTTAAGAAATAATATTGTATTATACTTAAACAAAAATTTAAGAAGAATCAACAATCAAAATATTCGATATTGAGATTTTATTTTAAGGTGGAACAATATTTTTAGATAAAAATCACAAATCCCCTGTAAAAGTAAAAGTCCACGTACACACGTTATTTTTCGTGGAAGTGGTATTCGAAAACGATGAATTTCGTTGGTAGTAGCAACGATATTTGACGACAACGACTTCTGAAACAAATTGCGCACGAGAAGTCGAGCGGCCACGTGTAACATACGGACAAAACTGCTTTCAATGCGTGCCACCCTTTTATCGTAGATTTTCGCGCGACTGCATGTCCCTCGACGTACGGACGTTGCGGCGCAACGACAGTTTCCGTGCACAAAAACAGAGAACAGATTCGACGTGGAATAATTGAACGTTCTATTCGGTTCAGCCCTTTATTCTCTCCCTCTGTACGGCCCTCCCTTTCCGTTTATATCTTTCACCGATCGTCGAAATAGCTCGTTTGGAGTTTGCCACGGGCGTTCGTTAGTATCATTGTGTGATCTATTATTCGCGAATGTTCAGCAAATTATTTTCAGTTGTACTTCCAAGTGTTTCTTCAACGATCGTGGATTTTATAGTGAGATTAAATCCAGCTTATTTTCAGTGAAACCTGCGAAAAACTATTATTTCTATTTGATTGGTTGTCGTTCGCTGATCGTCCAATATAAAAAAATTTAAGAGCGTCAAGTAGCGGTTAAAACCTTAAGGATTACATAACGAAATTTTATCTTTCAATTAATTTCAACATTACTTTAATACTTCATAATAACTTTACGACTTCAGGTATAATTTTAAACGAACATTCAATTAACGTTTAATTTCTTTCAATCTGTAACGTGCATTTGAAATTACGTCCAGAGTTTTATTAAAGTCAGATGGAAATTAATTGAAGAGCAAAATTTTGTTATGTATTTTGAAGCTGTAATCGCCATTTAAAGTTCTTAATTTTTAATCAATGTATAACATCATGTTAAAACATATTAGACTGATTTTTAGTTTTTGTTTCCGTAAGTAAAAGGATTTCAAGCAGTTTTATAACTGTGTAGCGGTTAAATTATGTTTTATTACAAAAAAAATGTAATCTTTTACTTAAAAGTACAAAATAATTCACGACGTAATTTTCATTTTGTTAAACTATCGTGAGAAATTAAATTGTAGGGAATGTTGATTGAATTTTCTGTTGGCGCTAGGGAGAGGATATTTATCGTGATTTAACTCTCGTGTATGTTAACCTGTATGTAGACAAAATGCTGTGATCGTTATACATGCGGGTTATTAAGCGTGCACTTAATTGCCATTGCTATGTGGCAGTTTCTGTTAGGTATAAAAGCACGTCCAATTAGAGATCGGGCTTTTCTGGATCGACGAATATAATATCGTCAGGTTATTGGAGTAACTTCCTATCGATATACGGGTTACTCGATAACTGGATAAGTTTGTCCAATAGAACAGTATACTGGATTAGTTTACAATATAAAGTATAGAAGTATTTGAAACTATCTGTGGATAGTACATGAAGATAGTACAAAAAGAAATTATTATGGAAACATAATAAATATAGTGTAATGCAGAAGCTTCTGTCATTATTGCTGTTGCTCGACAATTTGCTCGATAAAAAATATTTTTTAAATAATATGTTTGTTTAAGTTCAATATTTTCAACGAGAGAAAAGAAAATTATACTAGAATTTTAATTAATTATCCTGAAGCTGCATTGCGGATTTTAATAATAAAATAATTGATATTGTGTATAGGAAATTGAATAAAATGAATAGAATTTATAATAATTTGCTCTTTTATAATTTTATTTCAAACAGAAATGTTTTTTCGATGGTCAGACGCGTTTGTTAATAAATTAATATTAGCGTAAAAAACTAACTGCGGATAATTTATGCTTTCGCGCGGAAAATCACTGCATTGCGGATGCGGTTTACCAGGCGAATTTCTTCTATGATTATGGTACTATAGTATTAGATTTGTTCTTTCAAATGGTATCTCTTCTACACACTTTCATACTTCTTTTTCTCTCCTCTTTCCAAAGCAGCAAATGGCACTTCTTTGTAAACTCGAAGGATAAAAGTTCAACCGAAAGAGAAATATCCATTAATTTGTAGTGAAAAGTACATTAAAAGGATTGGTCTCAAACATTGTTCATGACGGTTTAGTCATTATTTTTATCGACTCGTCAAACAGACCTGTCGAATTAAATTACACATAATAAATCATGGAAGTTTCTATACATTACTTATTACTTAACCGATTCATCATAATTGATTTAATAATATTTATTCAAACTAGCGTTACTCCTGTAAAGAATGACTATCAAGCTAGATAGACTTTATTTTATGGAATTGCGTGTCTTACCTTGAAAATCGATTATCCTCTTTACGTTATCATAAATTCCAGGATCATATTTCTGAAATATACGCCGGATATGTGATAAATTTTTCATCCTTCCCCATTATGCTGCGTGGAAAGCCGCATGCAATGCATGGTTTAACTTTACCGTATACGGAACAGTAGCTGGGGCGCGGTACACGCTGTCAGGCAATGCGGTCCACAGAAAAAAATTTGCAACCACATATATATAATTCCGTGATAACGACAAACCTGTCAAAACGCGCTCCAATCGCGAATGTGCCGCAATCCGGCTTTTTGCCGAATATAATTCGCCGTCTCTCCCTCAAACGCATCGACCGGCCGACCGAGTGCAACCGATGCGGCCAGGGCGATTTATTACACGTGCCGTGCGTTACCGAACCATCATCATCATCTCCGACCGGGAATACATGATAAACATTTAATGTGCGTTCCCATATCGGATAGGTAGCGCGAATGAGGGAAGGCGTGACGCGCGTATCAGAAAATAAATTTTAACCGCTCCGCTCGCAGAGATAACGGCTCGTGCCCGTGATAAAAACGTACCGGATATGTACTATGAATAATCATGAGTATATATATTCATGGGCCACGCGTGCGGGTCTCATTATCCTTACACTTTACTAAGGATTAAAGCGCAACTTTTACCCCTATACGGACGTATGTTGAATACATTCTATAGAAAATTCCGTTTTATCTCTTATTTTAATCTTCTTACGCGCCGACTAGCACTAGATGTTTGCAGACATTTCACGCACAAACGGGAGAACATAAAGAATTTTACGGCGCCTGTATGTATTTTGCTTGAAGGGAAAATCCAGAAAATACAGAGGATTTATTAGAAAAGAACGTCTTTGTATTTTTTAGTAATCGGGGCGAGCGAGAGTTAATTCTGTAATTATATTATATGTACCTCTGGGAATTTTAAAAATTATGTTTTTCGTAACGAGTTAAGTCTGCTTAAAGCCAAACGTGTTGATTCATTATTCTTTTTTTCTTTTATTTTATTTTAATTGTCCTCTATCTGTTAATCCAACTTAATAATTTGCCGGTCGACGATTCATGTTTTATTTTATGTATATCTACATAATTTTTTTTAAACTGTCGCTTTGCTCAAGTATTTTTATCTCGTTTGTACATTTAACATTGTTTCACCTTTAGAAAATAATAAAATAAACGAGGTTTTCGCAAGAGACGTTTCACACTGCGCGGTGAAAATATTAAAGATCATTAAATGTTTGCAGAGTATTAAAACTTGACAGGTTTAACGCGTTCTTTTATAAAGTTCTACTAAAAGAATATAACAATGGGAATAAATGGATGTTTCTCCTCAGAAGCAATACTGCTTGACGATGCGCTCGCGTAAATGTGAATTTCATAACTTCTCGGATGACGAAATAATTTGGAAACATCGTGCGCATCATAAATCATGCAAAAGTCTGCATTACACAACTTTTTATTTAATATGTTTCAGAAGTTATACGGAGATAATATATGCTTGAGCTTCAAAAAAATCTACATCAAGCATCAAAAAGTTGTTAAACTTTATCGTTCACTGACTTCACATTAACTTCCGCAAGTAATTAATTACTTGCGGAAATTTTTGCGAAATTACTTTGTGATGAGATTATGTCTTCTTGATTAAAATAGTACTTCGTTTTTACATCGACGATAAAATCGAGCAATTTCTTATTATAATCTAAACCTCTTTTTTTAGAGCAAATTTTCGCATCATACATAACGAATTATTTGTTTCGGGTTTATTGTAATTTCCAAGATATTGAACAAATTGTATTTTGTTAACGCATGCTAAATGCTACATGTAATCATCTAAACATTTAAATATTTAAAATCTTCTAACGTTTGAAGACGATTCCCAAGTGAGCGGACGAGTGCAATTGCAACGCGAAAAAAACACTAAAAGAGCAATTTTGCTGAAGAATCTAAAAATTTAGCTAGATACAGATTTGAAAAATTGCTGAACCATCAAAGCAATTAGACGACAAAATTGATTGCTAGAATATCAAATCACTTTGTAGCATTGCTCATGCTTAAGAAGAGTTGCTGAAAAATGATTTTAATGATCCAATGCAAAGATTATTTTCAGATCTGTATCTAGCTAAATTTTTAGATTCTTCAGCAAAATTGCTCTTTCAGTGCATGCTTCGCAAAGCGCGAAAAATTCCTTCTCAGAAATGCAAGCATAGTAGTTTTCACGTATAATATAAAACGTAGCAACGGAGTGCAAAAACTCGGCCGGCAGAACCATCGACAGCTGATTCGACGTTTCCTGCGTGATGATCGTAATCGTAGCTGTACCTTCAGGAAGCTGGGGTGGCGACCGGGACTTCAATCGGTAACCGGAGCGCTCTCGTTGGCCTTCTTCCTGGGGCTGATTTACCGGAGTGCCTCGCTATACCATCCTCAACGGCGAGCCATACTGCATCTAAAGAATCAGCGCAGCAAAGTCAAAGAGAAGAAATCCTCGACCAAGATACCAAGGCAGCCGTTGGTCGACTTGAGTCCTCTGGGATCGCGTCCCGTGAGGATGCTCATGCTGGCTGCCGGTGCTGCTGGTTTCGGTCTTTACACCCCCGCCTTCTATATCGTAAGTGCACTCAGTGATTGAAAAAGATTTCTCTCTTTGATAATGGGTCTCTCGGCTAGTCTCAAAGATCTGGCATGACAAAAGTCAAAAGCGTGAAAATTTTATTCCGTTTCGCGTTCCATCAATTTGCCTTCCAGAGCGGTGTTTTTAAAATTCCTTCTTTCTTTTTAATTCAATAAATAGTAACTTGAAGACAAAGTATTACTGATACTTTTATACGGATTGGAGAAAAGTCATCACAGCTATTTCGTTTCGACAAAAAAAAAAAAATATTCACCAAATACGCCAAAATGGTTGCGAGACAATTAATAGCAGCGCGTGACATTTCTGCTAAGGGTTTAATGACACAGAAATCAAGCGTCGAGTTTCCTAATTTCGCGATTTCCGGAGTAATCTCGAGGGATAGACGGGGCCAATTTCGATAATCGATATTAGACGGGCGCCGTTACCGAGCGTCATTGTCCGCGTTATCGCGGTGATCCATATAGCACGTTCTTTCCGGCGCGGCCTTAATGAGAAACATCACTTTCAGGCTCTGCAAGGCTACCAGGATGGATTAGAGGCCAGCGCCTTGGTGCTGCTACAGACCTTTCTAGGCCTGGCGGCGGCACTCGGATGCGCGGCTTTGGGAGTAGTTATCGTCAGACCTTCCGCTCAGTGCCTAGTGTCCAGGCAATATCTCTGTCAAGCGGCACTCATTGGGGTTGGTCAGTACATCTCGCGGTCGCTTTCACGTAGTGAAACGCGCCCGTAGTTAATTGCAAACACGTTCAAATTGCTAGATGGTTCGCGTTCCACGATGGCGATGGCAACACGTAATTTAACGCATTAGTATTTTTTTTATTCTTCAGAACAGTCATATTATACCTACTCTCTCTCCTTATGGAATCTATCCTATTTTAACTGTAAGTTCCTTCCTTTGATCTTTATTTTATTGGAACGAAACTGCAAAGAAGGCTATTTGTAGATCTCTATTTCGAGAGATCATTTTTCGCTGCAAAGCTCCGCAATAAAGCCCTCTTTTAAATGAAAATTCAACCCAGCAAAATTGCGAAGCACTATTCACTATACAAGAGAAACGCATCGATTCGAGATTTATGAGTGAGTTTGTCCACAAGGAAAGTCTTAAAGAGGAGGAATTACGCGTAGTAAAAAAGACTAGCTGAAAAATTGTACTTGCATGAATTTTGCGCACGAACAACCTAGGAATTGTAGATTCAAGGATTACGCCTCGAGGATTATCGATTCGAATTAGGTTTCCTTTCTGCTTAAAGCCGTAGCTCAAGTGGCGCTTGGTAGCGTACAAGGTTATCACGGACTTGTGCTGGCCTCCGCACTTTACGGCGCCTCGCTCGGCGGTACGCTTTATTCCCTGAAGATGCTGGCCCTGGAGAGGTTGCGAGCGAGACACTTTGCCAGATCGTGGGCTTTGGTGCAAGCCGCGGAAGCCCTGCCCATCCTTCTTGGAGTTCCTCTCACAGGTACGTGAGTAATACGAAATTTCAGGTATGTCAGTTCCCAGTTAAGTCCTCGAGTCGTCCTTGATTTATTTGGGGGATCCTTACGACAGGTCATGTAAAAACGATCTTTACACTTCTCGTCGAAATACAAACACTTGCGGACAAAGCACATTTACATGTATACAATTTTTTTCTCTGTAAAAGCTATATCGTTATATATTGAAGAACGTTAAAGCTATATTGTTATATATTCAAAAACAAGGTTATACTTTTACTATTTTTTACTCTCTCTCTCTCTCTCTCTCTCGTATAATATGAGACAAATTTTTGTGTTCACTTGATGACGGAGATTATATGAAGTAACCAACAAAGTTATTATATATGCTTCTACATAATATTTCGATAAAGCCTCTGGCTTTGCATCCATCGTATCTATTATAAAGCAGTAGTTACTTCCTCCTAAACGCAGATTCTTCGTGCTTTCAAACGTCCGTACAACAGTATTAGAACTTTAGAGCCACCGAGGTGGGCGAAATCCGCTCTCCCGCATGCTAAATCCGTCCCTACTAATGGTCTTACGGTCTCCCTGTGTATGAATTTAATGCCAACGTCCTTAATAATAACGTACGGAGCTTGGGAAATACGCTCCTCTAGCCTCCTCTCCAGCTGAGAGGGAATATTCAAGGAAGCGTGACAACTGTCACGCATATTCGTAAGACTCGAGCATATTACACTAGTATAGAACTGCAGGTTTTGGTCACTTTGAGGAGTTTAATTCAGTTGGAATTTCATCAACTCGTATTTCGCCATTTCCTCTCCACTGCTATTGCATTACCTATCAGAAGCTGCGCGAAAATTACAGTAAAATTTAAAAATAAAGAATATTAAACAGCAGTTATAATATGGTTAAAAAAAAATCAAATTATGCATTATGAGTCAAATATAATAAATATTTCGTTTTAGTAAATGTGTATTGTACAATATCTAACGATAATAACAATTGGCACTAATCTGATAATATGTAGGACGTTCATACTGGTTCATACTGGTCAGAAATGTCAAAACTTTTACAGCATTGTTCATTATGCCTGACTTTCCTATATAATTATTTTGATGGCTCAATTATTTTCAAATCTGTATCTGATTTAAATTTTTAGATACTTCAGCAGAATCATTCTTTCCATGCATGAATTATTACGAATTTACATTAATACGATTAATATGATTTGTAACAGTTATATATAATTATTTTGATAATCCAACAAAATTGTTTCCAGATTTATTTTTAAATATATTTTAGCAAAATCATTTTTTTCATATAAAGTTTATTTTAGAAATAATCTCATATTTTTCACGTAAACTTTATTTTAGAAATAATCTCATATTCACACACAGATTGAACAACTTGCAAATTGCACATTTATAATGGTGTTCACATTCTGATAACTAGTTCGAATGTTAAACACAGTTATCTTGATAGTCCAACAAAATTATTTTCTGATCTATGTTTGTATGTGTAGCTAGTTAAATTTTTAAATACTTTTTATTAAAATCATTCTATCCATGTGAAATTTATTTTAGAAACAATTTCATATTTAGATTGGATAACTTGCAAATTGCACGATCATAATATTCTTTCTTTTTCTTATTTATAAAATTAGATTATTTTCAAAAATAGCATTATTGCAAGATAATTCTAGCATTCATAATTTCTTCATTATATAATATATAATATATATTTAGAGGATAATATATTTAGAGGAAACGATGAGAACGACGAGAATTAAAGAGACTATGTCTATTAAATCATAGCGTGCCAATTATATTTTATACAAATTCCCTTTGTATTTTCGGAATTATAAAAAAATATTTTCCGACGAAAAATAAAGTTCCACTCGAGTCCTTTTTCCGCGTGCACGAGACGGAAAATAAGGCCGTGTTCCAGTACCGAACTTTACAGTATATACGTACCATGTACTATAGATTTTCAGTATCGGCAGGGTAATAGCAAATTCAATTGAACGCATTGATGTGCACTGATGCATATTAAAACCATTGTACATCGTTTTAATTTGAGTGTAAAAAAGTGAAATGCAAAATTTCGAATTATAAAATATATATATTATTTAAAAGCACAAAATGTGCATTGAGGATTTCAAAGTTTAATCGATTTCTGCATTTATATAAAATTGCATTTTTTTTTTTTGGTCAATTTGTGTACGACGACTTTAATGTGCATCACTGCGTACTGAGTGCATCCAATCGAATTCGCTACAAGTATTTATATTGGAACGCTACTTAAAGCCAGCGGCACACGATGCTTTATTGGATTGCTGGCTGGAAAAAAAGCATCTTAAGCATCACTGGCTTAAGATTTCCCATCATCCAGAATCAATTTGCTATTATGCTCAGCAGAAAAAAAACCAACTGTTGTACAATTGTACTTGTAACTGTCGTATAATTATATATATAAATACAATTGATTTATTTAGATCCAGTGAGGAGAATTAAGATCAAGTCTAATCGTATTACAGAACATTTTACGCAGTTGCAAAGCTGCTTTCTCCGCTGAACATAGCAATTGCTTCCTTGACAAACGTGCGACAGATTACAGCGGCGCTTTAATCCACCCTTCGTCATCCCATCCCCAGGTTACATGAACGCGAGCAGCCCACGAGTGGGTTACTACGCGTGCACGCTGAGTTCCTTGTGCGGCGCGGCGCTCCTCTTCCTGGTCGGCTGGGGACGGCAGCCAGCATCGCCGGTTCTACCGGGACCGCGTCTTTCGAGCCTTGGCATCGTGCCGCCGCCACCGCCATGCGCACCACGACCACCACCACCCGATCGTCGACCACTACTGCCATCCGCAGTTTCATACGCCTCTGAGACCCAGCAAAAGCGTGCCAGAGGGCCTCGGCCATCAGGACCCGTATCGGACCCGGCCGCGACGTCACCGTGACATCACCGTCATAGAACAGATTACCACCAGCGTGTAAGACGAAGGGGTTCACCCGATCCCGTCGGCGTGTCATTAGGCTATTGGGAACCAGAGTGTTCGGCGACGTTTGTTTTTTTTATCCCATAGGATTTTAAACTTCGCGTATGTCAAATCGTTGCGGTAACGGCAACAAGGGAGGAGCGACGAAGGAGACGCCGCGCTATCGCGTTTCATCGAGACGCGATCAGCGGGAACAGTTATGATATATTGATTTCAGACTTGTACAAAAGTCTTCGGGAAGCTCCTATAAAACCTTTTATCTTCTTGTCTTCCTTACGCTTCGGTAAGTCGCGTCCGGGAAGAGCGAAGTATCGCGTTTCTTCTTATTAATTAATTTAAGTTGCTATTATGTTTTGTTATTATACCTTCTTTCTTTCTTTTTATTTCCCGCGTCTCTGTCGCGTATAATTTAATACTTATACGCCGGAAAATTTAGGGTGGCTCTTGAGGAAGGTTTGGGGATTATTAGCGTAAAAGCCGGCGCGCGCTTGCAAGCATAAGCGGAAAGTAAAATAGTAGCTATGAAAAAGGAAATAATTTCGCGCGCCCAGGACGACTATTTATGCGATCGTAAATCAAGGAGGAAGAACGACAGTTAAAGTTCTTTAGAAACATCCCTACTAGGTTCGCTTTCCTACTAGCTGCTAAGCGGGATCGACTATTAAATTGAATTAGCGAAATCTGTATCTCGAATAGATGAAATTAAATGTATTACGTGCGTAATTAGGAAAGTGTTTGTTCGTGTTTGTTCGTTGACGCGCTTGTTTGAAGTATATTTACTGCCGGGGAAACGACTGTCCGCTGGCTGAACACACATTTAATGGGAAAGTATAGGAACGAAGAAATAAAGCGTAATCAAAATTTCGTTTTTTAACAGAATTTTGATGAAAAATATTCCTATTCGTTCTAAAAACTAGAGGAACACGGATAACGATTACAGAATACAGCGAACGATCGAATAGTTTTGTTTCATGTATAAATATACTTTTTTCATTCGACTTTTCTCGTCCGAGTCCCTATAGTTATTTACATCCCGTAGCGGAGAACGGCAGACAATTCTCAATGCATTATCCTAGCTCAAATAGAGATCATCTCCTTGGCCTTCGAATATCCTTGTTATTTGCATTTTGAACAAAGCGAATTGACGGGTCAAGTTTGATTTGAATTCACGAGAGTTCGGATCTGCTTCCACTTTGACGTTGAATGTACGATTAGTCGACTAATCGTGCAAATACTTCAAACTGATCTCTCCTGTCGTGTAAAGTTTCGAAATAACTACTATCTCTATGTATACGTGGAAAGAATGGTTTTGCTGAAATGTCTGAAATATAGTTAGAGCTGAAAAATAATGAAAATAATTTTATTGGACTGCCAAAGTAATTATGTGAAAAACTTAACGTTTGGTTGCTAGAATATCAAAACTTTTTGCTCATCATGAGTTTCCTACATAATTATTTTCATAGTCTAATAAAATATTATCTCCAGATATGTATATCTGCTTACATTTTTAGATACTTCAGAAAAATCGTTCTTTTCGTGTATATATGTTCTTTACGCACACGTGTGAATTGTAATTAACAGCAGATGCGTCGTTTCTCGATTGATGGAAATATATGTACGTACAGTGCTCGGAGCTGGTCTCCGGAAACGCCCCGTCGCAGATATCCGTTAAATATTAATAGATATAAACCATCGCGCGGACGTTTCGAGCGAAAACGGTCCCGAGGTTGGAAACGCTTGCGAAAGAAACTCTGCAAATAGTAGATAAAGAAATTAGGACAAATCGACGCTTTACGGCTTTACGAAATTGCACATTTCTTTTTTGTTTAATTAAACATTTGGGACTTTGCGACTATAAAATTCTTTTATATATACATATAGATTCCTGTTTAGGAATCTGCATGTTATATCTTTATTTAATTATGTTTGTGCTTTATTCTTATGTATCCGCGATTTATATTCGCCGTAAAAACATTTACGGCGTAAATGTATTATTATCGCACTGACTCGTATTAGCTGTACTATCACAAAATGTTGCTCGGCTCTATTCCTATCAGCGTGTAAGGCTAATTATAATCCCGAGTCACTTTACGATAATATAATTAGTACCTGAATATTAAGTGCTCTGGGTATGTAATGATGTGAGCGATGATATTAGACGGTAATTTAATTATTCCTACTTTCTCGTACCTTGCTATGTGTCGAAATTAATCGTTAACGCACGATATGTGCCGTACCATCTTCTCGCCGCAGTGATTTTAATCAATGAGAAAACGTAGAGAGTATATCGCAAAGGTGTTTGCCAACTGTAAGAAAGTAGTAATGTAGATTACATAGGACTCGTAGTTGAATTTGTCATAGTTTGGGCAGTGTTATTACATAAGGAAGTCTACAGAGAATAGAATTTCCTACGTGTATGTATACAATGAAATCCAATTAAATTAATACGCACCGCCGTATTGATTCAATTCTCTGGAAAGTGGAACAATCTCCGATTCATGAAACGAACAATTTTCAATTCATGTGACGTCTTGATTGGGAAATATCAAAGTCAATCAGACGTATCCCCTTCAGCTTACTTATACCTGTTTTCTTTTTTTCTTTTTACGCGTTTCCATTTTCGGCCCGTATATTAATCACGATTTTTTTCTTTCGAATTGACTACGTGATATAAATTAGGAAGTTAAAGCTGTTAGAGCAGGTGCACACGATATACGGGGCCAAAGTTAGGTTCCCCACACGTAATTTATATTGTTTAACGATCAGATAAATGAAGAGTTTAAATTGTTCACCATTTCCATTTTTCATATCTAAATAACTGTACTTGCTCTATTACATATACAATTGTATTACCATGTCGTTATCCAAAATAATATTTAAAAAAATATATTAAACATAATTATTAAAAATAACACAAAAGATACTTCACGTGGACTTTCTATATAGACGTTCCACAAATAGAAAGATTAAAAAATTGTGTGCCCCTGCGTTAGAACAAAACTGTTTTTACTACATGTAATTATCGACGCATGTCGAGCGGCGAATTTGTTAGATCATAAAAATTGTAGTTTATAATGTTACAGAATATCTCTTAGTCGCGTTGAACAAAGGTATCCGAGTTTCTTTAAATCAACATATGTAAGGATAAAAGTTACCAATCTTAACGATCGTTACGAGACCTTTTTTAATATAAAAAAAAAATATATATATATATATACACATTAACTTTTGATGTGATGAATTGTTTATATACTGCCAATTTTTATAGGATATAATCGAGTCTCGATTTTCGATTGAACGCACGTGGACAAATCGTATGTAATTTTACGAATTCACAGACGAGATGAATGTCTTCATGTTTATTGGGACATTTGTAAACGATAGGCATTTTTTTCCTAAACTAGTCTCTCGCAATCATTAAGTCAGGATTATTAACGAATTTACACAGTAGACACAAATAGTACACCTCGGAATGTAAACAATGTTGGTAGAGTTTATGGAATTCGCTTATATCGCCATATTATATTGCCAATAATATTTCGTTAGACAAGACAAAAAATTTTTTACAGAATCTTTATAGTTATTTATGATTTTTACTCCTTTTACTAATTTGATTGTTCAACAATATTTTTAATAAAGACTTATTTCTACCGCAATTATATGAAACATAAAATTTTGATCAGTAATAAATTTTATAAAAGCAAGCAATATTGGAATAAAAATAATCTCTTTTCGAGAAGTTTTTCATTTTATATCAATATATAAACATGTTTTCATTTAACGAGGTGCATTAAAGGGAAACAAAAGAGTAAATTTAAAAGTTATGCATTTTTATGAATTTATTACTGTCAAAATTAATGAAACCATTACGGCAATGATGCTGGTAGTAATAAATTCACTAATTGGACTAATTATAATTACTTTTTTATGTCTATATCATGATATACTTTGTACGATACATTTTGCTCGCGTAATATATTATACAAAAACGTATGTTTTTCACATGAAATCTATTATTAAAATCTAATAATAGATAATTTGTATACTGCTTTATTCGTAAATTGTTGTTTATATTAAAGATTATAATTTTCAAAATGATGTTTTAGAATTAATCGTGTGTGTGTGTGTCTACAAAATAGGTGCACGAAGAATTAAATGTGCCTCACAATGATTTTGTATGGTATTTAAAATTTTTTTTAATCTTATATCCAAATTGTTTTGAGAAAGATTTGTAGCGAGTTTTTCTAGCTAGATCAAAATCCGAGCTTGGAGGTATTTGCACAATCACGTTGCGTTTACGATGAAAATATCTTACAATTAGTCGGAAATATCATGAAATTGTAATGGATGTTCTCGAGGAACCTGCGGTAATCACGTTAATCATAATATAACAGCTTTGTCGTCAATCGATTCTTAGAAATCGCGTAACTCCGTTGCCTTGTAAATATACCTAAAGCAAGGTTCCCTTATTGCAACACGTTGAACATTTTGTAAAGTTTTATAAATAGTTCTACGTAGTTAAACAGCTGGACCAATAAAGTATATATCCGATTGTACGTTATTTCTATATGTATATATTCACACCCTATTCAGTCGTAATATCCGATAGTTTTATCGAAATTTGAAGACAATTATCACAGATAAGATGCAATGATCATTAATTAACAATGAAAATGCAGCTTTTTAACATACACAATAATATATAACATATCTATTTAATTTTTAATCTAGAAATATCTTATAACTACTAATATGATATACTTCAATCATTATTTTTGACATTGATCTCATCTCTGTGTATACTTCTTCAAATTAAATCATACAGTTAATATAGTTTACGATTTGCTACAAAAGTTAAAATTATTATAGAAGATAATAAACGCTGAGAATAAACGCAAAGAATGAACATAAAAAATACACCATGTAATTTAAATAATTCCATTATTTATTTAAATTATAAGTATATTTACTCCATCACAAGAATTATTCTATGTAATATTTCACAGTATTGCGAGGATACTTCCCTCTTTCAGGAAACGATACATAATAACACGGTAAATATAAAGAAAAATTCAGTAGAGTAAAAACGTCTGAGAATATACAAAGAGGAATAATGCGTGAGATCCTTTAATAACTAATAATCAATTTCTTTATGTTATAATACAATATAAACACATACAGCTCAGTTCCAGAAATTGTGAATGAAAACTTGAAGTGACAACGGAACCCGAATTTATTCCTGATTATATAATATCATTACAGGAAATTCGGTTCTCAATACGGTGCTGATGAGTAGAATTATGCGTTTTATTCCGCATTCGTTGTATTTCAAATGAAAAAAGAAAAGAGTACAATGAAGTAACGTTATCACGTTGACTATTGACCTTAAGTGAATCACGGTAACTAAAAGCTAGCATGATTTTCACACTTGAGTTTACAGGCACGTACTTTCATAGTACCGGATACAATCGTGGTGACCAACCGATTTTTACATAAAAAATTTATAGACGTTCAAAAACGGACAAATATCTGCGATCTCTGTATCTAATTGCGAATGGACCCTTGTTTTGGGGTTGTACTTGTTGCTACGTAACAATATTAATCCGACTCGTTAATGTTCTTGCGTAACAATGTAATATCTTAAAATTTGCTTGTTAATACGTTAATATGTTTAAGTGCATTCACAAATGTGGTTCCACGATGAACTTCCGTTAAATTTACAATAAAAGTAACATGCTCGTCACTCGCAAATTTCTATCACTGCGAGAGGAGCATGTTTTCGAGACACGTAAGTTTCGCGTAGAGAACTTTCGCCTTTCAATACTAATATAATATTAGTATTATCCTTCTCACATTTATACATACTATGGCATTTTTGTAAGTGTAAATAAAAAAATAGCTGATGTTTTGTCTTTTTAGAATAATAAATTAATATTTTAGAGATTGTATAAAATATTAAATTTAACTAAATTTATATCACTTAATAACCAGGGCTCATAAGCAATTTATTGCGTAAATTGAATAATTATTACTTTATATACATATAATTGACAGGATTCGCAAAAAATTTTACATAAATATCTTCAATTTATACGAAATGATCTTTTCTCAACTTTAAAGCAGAAATTTAAAAATAATACAAATAAAATTTCAAAAATGTAAAAATGTGCGGTATGTGTGCGTGTGTACTGCATAACGATAAAACGAAAAAAGTAATACAATCTGTACATAAAAAATCAGATATGGCAATTGTGCTATAAATAACTGTTTACTCCATGTCATAATTATATAATTATAATTTAAACAATTTCCGAAATCTAAAGCGTAAAAAAATTGTGCACGCCTTCAAAATTAATTTTATTTCAAACAACGTTTAATTACAAGCCTTGATTATAGATTAACAGTCTCGAATAGAGAAATAAACCCTTTCAATTTAGTAGATAAGTAAATATATAATCTTGAGTAAATTTACACTATATTTGAGTATTTTTCGAATATAAATAATAATTAAATACAGGAATTGAAACCGGTATCATTCCATCAAGTTTGAGTAAGTGATATTGATCCCTATGTGTTATTTGCGACATGTAAATATAACAATCGATACAAGGATCTTTTCCAAATATTAGGAACTTGGTCGGTCCAGGCATTACTCTGATGCGATAATTTGAAGTATTCTACACTAGACGAGTCGCATATAAGTACAAATTTCCACTTTGCTGTTTTCTGACCATGACTTAGCGCGAGACACAATTATGTGTCTCTTAATATCTATAATAAAAGAAATTCATCGAAATTATACCCGTTTCATTTCTTGTTTGAGACAATTGTAAATTTCGTAATATGTGTTTGCTGCGCTCTGTGTGTGTATGTGTGTATGTGTGTGTATATGCGTGTGTGTGTGTGTGTGTGTGTGTACATATATACACATATGCACATGTAACGCATTATTACGTACGTATCATACATAATATGGCGTTTGTATATTGTGCAAATAATCGAACACTTATGTTGAACTGTTGTACAGGGCATATCGCAATGCATATAGAATTAAGATACGCAGAAAGTATATAAGAACACTCGCTGTTCGTATCTCTCTTTCTTTCCGCCGTTCTCGTGTTACGACGATCAAGTATAACGAAATTGTTCTATTAGACGTTTAATTCAATAGGCTTTCACTGCTAGGCCGTGGTTTAGTAACCAGACTATATAAGGCTCGTATTCCGTTCTCCGTTAGATCCGGAGGCCCGAACAAAAAATCCCGTCGAGTGTTCGGATTCGACAGCAGGTCCCGCATGCTCTCAGTCGTAAGCACCCAAGAGTGTAATGAGGTTTGCGTTAAATTTACTTTCCTAGCCAGTGTCCCGGTAATGTGAACGTCATCGATCCAAAAGTACGGCTCTTTCTGAGCCTCGCGGTACAGTATAAATACACTATCGGGAGAGTATAGGATCGCCCATCCAGCACAATATGCAGGATAAAGTCTACCGGGATACTCCCGAGGAGAGACGCGCCATTTTGAACGCCAGGATCTCTTCACTGCGGAAGCCGACAGAAGATCACAGAGAATCAGACGTCTTGCACCCCACGGCGAAAGGCCATGCGTTAGAAAGTCCAGCATGGCCGGTAAATGAACAAAAACGTCATCGTCTAATTTAAGAATATATTTGGCACCTGAAACAAAAAACAATAACATCAAAATCAGATATAAATATTATATCCTTGTAATTTTAATAAAAATATAAAAAGTAAAAGATAAAGATTGTATGGTCTTTATAAGAAAAAAAAATTGCACGCAATCAAATCAATATTAAATCTATTCAATCAAATATCAATTATTATCAATTATTATCAGCTATTATCATTATAATATTGTTGTAATATCTAATATGAAACACAAAAAAAAACGAAATGATCGCAAACCAAAAATAAATAAAATTAAGTTTTAAAACGGTGGACATCATAATTATGTTCGCTTCTTACTTGGACAATAATAAGTAGCCCACTTTAATCCCATAACGTGCTTGTAGGTCATGTTTCTGTAGGCATCAAGAAAGTTTCCCTGTATTAAGTCTTGGTATTTCTCGTTCTCCTTCTCGAGTTTGGATTGATATTTCTCTGAGTACCCCACGAGAAATAATAAAGTCACGTCCGGCGCTTGTTGACCCCAGGTCTCCCGCACGACATGCCTCTTCGGAAAATTCCCTGGCGCCGAGTGAACCAACATTAACAGCAATGGCTGCGTACGATTACAGGGATTGTGGTTCATAATGAACCTAAAGTCCGTGATGTTGATCAGCGTGGATTTATCATCGGACGGAAGTTCGTTTATTGAGTAGGACTGCGTGGAGGGTGTGACGTTTCCGGGAAATATAAGGATATATCCTGGCGCGGCCACACCGCCGCTGGAGTAAGGAATCGGCGATCCTGAACCATCGATGTGAATCCAAAACGAGAAGCATCCAGTTAGTGCCAAAACGACCACAAAGATGAGGGTGCATGGCGAAGTACCGGAGGCATGTAGCCGCCGCTTATCCAGCATACTAATAAGCCCCTTTCATCATATACATCTGCCTGAAAATACGAATATCCTCGATTAGGTAACTTGTTCTCACCTTTACAGATTATTACATGTATTATAGATCCTGTGCGTTCCAAGTATCTCATGGTCCTCATGAACATCCTTATTGTAGACTGTATCAGTTTTATAGAATATACATTAAAATATACCTCTTTTTACAATTTACAAAGAGAAACAAAGTAATTAATAAAAGCTTATTAAGAGCTTACTAAGAGCCAACAAGAATCCGTAGTTATGCAAAGTATATGTTTATTAGTGAAAAATTATGCAATTCACAATTACACGCAAACGTTTCGACTTATGAGTTCTAGTCTTCCTAAGCGCAACTAACCGCAAGAAGATTCTGATCGGAAAAATGAACGTTGGCGTCATTTGATAAAACGTAATAGATACGTTTATAAAAAAAAAGATAAACTAAAGATATCTAGTCATTAAAGTAACGTAATAGTAAACAAGTGTGTTTACTCATTGTTATAATCACTGAGAAAACACACAGTACATATAAAATTCTATGAAGCCGGACAGTAACATAGCCCAGAACGTTACTGACGTCAGAAATAAAATAGACAATGATAAAAGAAAATTATAGTCAGGAAAAGTGGTCAGCAATTGACATATGATAAAAAACTAACAATTAGAGTAGACGATAAATATGACTAATACTAGGAAACAACAGTGAGAATGTTTTTTTAGTTTTTACATATTATAATATTATGAGAATTTTATAAATTTTTATTTTAGAAAGCGCTATAAAATTTTTGATCGTAAAATATATATGTATATATTATATATATA